ACAATGCCCATCTCTGCCAGTCGAGCGGATAGCTTTGCCACACGCTCGTACAGCGCCTTGTACGAGATCACTGTCTCTTGGTTGCTGGTCTCCGCCTTGAAAATTATAGCAGGGCGATCATCACGGAAGCGTAGCAAGTTTTCCGCAAAATTCAGTCGTGCACCGGGGAAGAACTTGGCACCTTCAGCCATCAATGCTCAAGAGAATCAGTAATACTCTGCAAGCAAAACCGATTCCAGTTATCTACTACCTGGCATCTTCTCCTTGTCCTCGATCACCTTCGTGTACGGCTGCGACGCCACCATCCCCGTAAAGTCCCAACACTGTAAACCCCCAGTAGTCAGTCACATGGCCAATACCTCGACAACGTCTCCAGTTGTCTGGTAGCCCCGCCCCTACCGCTCCCCAAAAGTCCTCGAGGTTGTCGACTGACCACTGCCACAGTTCCTGTGGTGTCTTGAGTGACAACCTATTCACCATTCTCCAATGTCATCCTGTTCTATCAATTTAGCGGTAACTGTTTTTGCTCACTTAAAGCGTTCGTTTACAAGATTCGAGAACTTAGTCCAGTTAGAAAAAGCCACGAGATCCGCTGACGGAGACCACACTGCGCAATGTTGATACGTCAATGTCAAATATGAATATATCACGCAAGGGCACTTAAGTATCTAAGACGTACGAGTAGCCCCATCCTTCACTCTCTTGGCGTCAGTGGAGGGGACTGTGTCTCCCTTGCGCTTGCCCAGCACCACCATCGCCAGGGTTTGATTTGGTGTGGCTACTTAAAATATTACTTGATCTCAACTTGACATGTACTACACATGTATCTGTAGTACCGGTGCATGTACCGTATTTAGAAAATGCTATTTCCCCTCCAAGCATTACAGTAATATATTACAGTACTGTAAATGGGAACGCCAAAAAACCCTTCACCCAAAAACCACCCACCCGCAGTAACTGCGTCACCCACCTGCTCCAATCTGAAAAGCTGTGTTCTGGCGAACCCTGCCCAGCAAATCGCTAGTTCTGATAATTACTCAGAGCCCCAAAGAATCAGGAAATGAGCATTTCTGGGCTCAAAGTCCAAAGGCTTTTCAGCAGAGAGTGGGTTCCTTTCCTTCTACAGCCACTGGTATGTTGCTAGCGGCAGCTATGAGCCATGACTAAGCAGCTTTAGATGAGCAGTGAAGCACCATGCATAGCAATGCTTGACTGTGAATAAGCGTCACATTCAGCATTTTAACTGTTAATTAGATCCTCTTCCCACTCCATTATTAGCTCTAACCTAGTTTTGGATCTTGGTGATCATGGTGTGGTCGGTAAAGTACAACGACGAGTTGTAACTGGTATTCCCGGACCGGGGAAAGATCAGTAAATTTGGTCAACTGCCAATCGCGTCCAAAGACCGCAAGAAAACCGCACGGCGCTCGATGCGTCCGGAAAGAAGCAGCTCGAGCTGCCAGCGAGATTGTTATTGCAGATCTCTCCGACACTATGTGACCTTCAGCGACACCGACAGGCTACGCTTCCCGGCGCCAACTTCAAGAGGATATATATCCTACTGCATCGAATAGAACTGACACGCGCTTGTAAACATAGCACGGAACTTCGCCGAAACAGACCAATCACGAAACCAAGGTGGAAGGAGCGGAGGTGGCTCGGGAAATAGCTATTCGCCAGGATATCCGGATGTGTCGACTATGCTTCCGCTGGGCCGCGTCACCACTTAAACAGCCGGCGCCGTGTGCATGCCCGGGGCAGGTACAGTGCCATACGTTGCATCGGTTCACGGAAGGACTGGAGACACCTTCTGACCGCGGTATGGTAGCGAACATCACAATTGGTCGGGTGATAGACTAAAATGATGCTGCCTCTCACTTTGAAGAGCTAAGGAGCTTGGCACCCAATTCGTTTGGAAGCGGCACGTGTCCGGCATCTCATACCGCTCACGTCCCTTTGAGGGGGAAACTCAGCGGGTCAACCTCCATGAGTGCAGCCCATCGAGCTAACCAGATCTGCTTTACCCCTCTTTGCTGTGATGGTTCCCGAAGAAGGAAATCATTCAATTATGCTGTGATTCTCTTTCGATAAAATAACTCGAACGACATTTAAAGGCTCTCTAAAAAGTACGTCGCAGCTTTTGACGAAGCGATGACCTCATTGGCAACGAGCACCAGCATTCAACATCACTGACTCGACCGAATTAAAGATTCGGTCTTGCAAAAAAAACAAATCTTTAAGAATGCTGTATACTTGATTCAAGTTTGGTAGCTTTCGCGCGTCGATTGTAAACGAAGGCTGGCAAAGCAGCAACCGTTGGTGACATCGAAGCAAAAGCAGTTGTGGCCAAATGGCAGCAATCTGGTCGGTAGCTTCTCCTGGAATATCAATAATACTGGGCTGACACTGCAGTGAAGCTACGATCCGGATATCCTCCATAAATGCTTCGTAGCTGGTGAGTGGAACGTGTGCTGACGGGTTCCGGCTTGAATAATACTCATTGCTCAACAGCTGCAAAAGGTTTCGACGATCTTGCTTGCTTCCCCAATACGGATACAACTGGATAAGCTGCTCAGACGACAATGCCTTCTCCCACCGAGCAAGATCACGCAACTGGGTGCTCACGACTCGTACTTCTTCATTCAAGCGCCTTGATTCAAAGAGCACGACTAGACTGAGAGAAAAAGGTTCACTGATACCCGCTTGTCTCAAAAAGGTGACCGAGCTTCACCTCTGACTTCGCAACAGAGGATGATAAGCACCTCTCCAGATGCATTTACGTCCCTGCTTACAGCACCCCGTCCCCCTCCAGCCTTGGTTGTTGCAATAAAGGAGCTGCAATCGGGTACTTGGACGCTCGATAAGAAGTATTGGCTTGCGGTATTGCGAGTCGGACACGTCCGTGTAAAACGAGTATCTGGATAGACGCTCCTCAGTGCTCAAACAGTGCTGATGATAGAATTTCTCGCGTCTGGAAACGCGCTCACTGACAGATGTCTCGTGTTGCATCGGCGACTACTACACTCTGAATACCTAAAGGTTTTGTGACGCGGACCCACTTTGATGTAAGTGGCTTTATTAGGAGAAGACACAAGATACAAGAGTACCGATACTGCTTTAAATATCTGCTGTGACCGACACGATGACTTGATTAGTTCAGAATTGACGAAGATGACTGTGAATCTGTCGGTCTTTGCCAGTTCGCGAGCGATTTCCTTCTCTGTGATACCAGTCTCCCCCGTATCACGCCCTCCGGATCGTAGCTGCTCCAGCAATCATTACTAACCACGACGATCTGTCCCGGGGGATCAAGTCTGAAATAGAGCTACCTCATCTTCTACCTTTGGTCAAGTCTGAAATAGAGCTACCTCATCTTCTACCTTTGTTACCAGACCCACGGAATCTTTGGCATTGAAATGGCTTCCGCTAATAGCAAAAATAAAGCAAATACAAGTGGTGCGCCATGTACTTCAAGTTCTCTTCAAATCAGCTGTCATCTTCGTGGGCTTGGTATTACTCGCATTTTAAATGGTCGGACAATTTTGCGATCACAAAGCATTGTAACAGACGCGGGCTAATGTCGACGATCACTATCTTGAAGTTGGGCAAGAGCATCGACGTGGAGAATGCGGGAGTGCTGGCTGAGCGATGATGCGATACCGTGGAGCTTGGACGGTGGTGGGCGCGAGACGGAAGCATGCGAAGTGTGTGGTATGTGTGTGAACGACAGACTGGTATCTTGATACCGTCAATAAATCGGTAAACCACAGGCGGAAATGACGTCACAGTACATTTGTATGCGCTGAGCGCAGATGCGTTTATGGAAATATTATCTCGCTGTATCTGTCATACCTAAAATACTGCAAACAGCACAAACGTAACAGCAGAGGTGCATGAGCTCAAAAGGCAACGCAAATATACTAATGTGTGTGGACAGTCGAGAAAGAACGCTGATAGAGCTCCCAAAGCGCCGCATCATGTCGTATTTCCGAGTGGGATAACCCAGACGGGCAAGTAGAATGCAAGCGGCTTTTGCTTGCGCGCCCTGTCTCGATTCCAAGCAGACTTGCTAGCTCGTAATACCGCGTACATCGAAGCGAATGTCCATCCCCGCGTTTGCGTCTATGAGGAGACCAGATTGAAGCGAATGTATGAAATAACCGGGCGCTCTGGGTGATCATTGCAACCAGATACGCTAGAAGCTGCTCGCTATTGGGTGAAAGTAAGGAGGGCCATTCCGCGGAGGGCCATGGGACAGACTGTGCGCAGAGACGACACAAAAAAAATCTTTTGTAGCAGCAGTTTTTCATATAATAAAATCGAGTTATTTCAAGCCGTGTCCGTCTCTAAGCGGCGTGTCCGTTGCAATATTTCAGTATACAAAATCTAATACTAATTTGGCCGTGTCCGTCCCACAGAGGCGTGTCCGTCCCAATATTTAAAACTTCTTGTCCTTACCGGTGGGTAAGAACGTAAGGAAAAGATATCTACATGGAGGACGATCCTTCTAAACTATCATGTCCTCATCACTTTCCAAAACACATTCCAGCACTCAATAAAACACTCTTACGCAATCCAATACAAGCTCTCCAGCAGTTCAGAGGCATCTAAGATGACAGACAACGTGAATTCTCTAGCTGTGACTTTAACCCCTTAGTTCCCGTATGTTTAGCCGCTAAACATAAGAGGTGTATAGCTTCTTTCAGTTTTTTTCGGCATCTATGTTATGTTTAGCGGCTAAACATAAGAGAAAAACTGACTTGGAGTTTGTATTGAACAGATCTCAAGAGAGCGCAGGAAAGCTCAATACTGAAGTCAAGACAAAAGTGGGAGCCTAAAACGGCCGGATGCACAGGCTTAGGGTAGCTGGACCGGATTCCTGATTGAACGAGATAAAGAGAGGCGGTGTCACCCACCACCAACGGGTGGCCGACAGTCACAAAACTCTCTCATACTTCAAAACGACCGCGGGGGCAGCAGACCAGAATGGTGGCGACGTCTGGCAAGATGCCACGACGGACGCTGACAGCGGAAGAGACCCGGTTGTGCAAGGCAGCCCTCAGTGACCGCCACAAGCGTCGCCTTCGTCGAGACGACGAGAGGCAGTCAGCAGCAGAGCCAAAGCATGGCGCTGAGGGGCGTGCGTTGAAGAAGCAGTCTAGGAAGAGGGCGGTGAAACTTACGACGACAGCCATGGAGATAGCAGAGTCTAGAGGTCCACATATTGAGCCGGCAGCACCCAAAGAGACAGAAGTAACAGCGAGTACGGACGAAGCTAAAGAGGTAATACCTGTTGCAGAAAATGAGGAAGATTCTGTGGAACCAGAGGTGGAGGAAGTTGTAGCAGACGTGGTGATGGCTGTGGCTTCAACTGTGGCTTCAAGTGAGCTTCTAACGCCTGTGCGAGATGCTCAAGGCGCTGTGGAGACCTTGCGCCCCCCTCGGACGAACAAGCAGGCGCCGGTTACGCAAAGATCCCCGAAACGACGCCGCCGCGTCCTACAAGACAGTCCAGAACGCGAAGCTCAAGCTGAAGGCACCATAAGTGACACCACAGACACCGGTGCTGCGTCAGCTGCCCCCGCATCTCCCTGTCGCCTGCGTAGTCGACGGTGATCCTAACATCATGGCGGCTGGTGCACGTGAGTGCACTGGCCTCGGATCAGAAGAGGAATCTGGTCCTGATTCAGACGATGACGACGCGGACAGTGAGTGGGAAGGATATTGGGAGCTTGGAGAACTCTCTGATGAGGAG